TGCCCACGCTGCGCCTGGGCTGGGACTGGTCCCGCCGGCGCAGGGTAGCAGGAAACTCTCCGCACACTCACCGGACCTGGGCTAGGACTGGGTCTCTGTGAGCTAGTTTTATTATCCCTGTTGTACAGACAGGACTACTGAGCCTGAGAACAATACCTTTTGTCTACGGGGGCCAGGGGCAACCTCTGGTGGGTTCACCAGTTCCATTTATCCTTAAAAGGCACTGAGGTGATTGGCATCATCTTAGCCAAAGCTAAGGGTGATGTGGCTCTTCATCAGGTCGTGCCGTTCATACTCTTCCTGTCCTGCCAGGAACCCTATCCCTACATGGGGAAGGTGGATGGCAGTGATGACAGCCACGACAACGGCTGCCATTAGTTGTGGAATGTGACTGTGGCTCTAGACATGAGACAGTGGCTTTTAGAGCCAAGGCAGATCTAGGTCTGGGCCTGATATGGGCTCCTCCACTTGCAGGCTGTCCAGTGGTCGGGAAGGAGCCGAGCTCGTGTCAGCCTCAGTGTTCCCATCTGCAGGAAAGATGGCACAGTTAGGGTCCCCTCCTAACCAGGTGCTTGAATGGGTCGACAGGGCGCATCAGGCACTCAAGGGGTGGCACAGAACAGGCTCTCAGCGGCTCGCGGTCCTCCACAGAACCTTTGAACTGCCATTGCTTTCCTCATCACGTAGACATGGAAACTGAGGCCTGAGGGTATCAGTTGTCCAAGTCCCTATGGAGCAACCTAGGGATTCCAGCTGCCTCGAATCCCTCTCCCAACTTGCTCAGTAGGTGGATGGAGACAGAGCTCCTGGCTTGTTGCATCTTCAGAAGATTCACTGGCTTGTGCAGGACTGGCTGCTCCTGAGCCTGTGGCCTGAAGCCTGGATTCTTAGTGTAGCCCTAGAAATTGCCCACGGTTCCTGCGGTGCTGCTGATGCTGCTTGACCTGCTGCATTTGTTCTCTTGGCTCCAGGAACTGAGTGACCAGGCGGGTTCAGACTTTGAGAACTCCGATGTCAGATGGGTCATCACCGTGCCAGCCATCTGGAAACAGCCAGCCAAGCAGTTCATGAGACAAGCTGCCTACCAGGTGAGGGCAGGGTTGGCATTGCTGGGGCTAGGACGGAGAGCCAGGTGGTCTGGGGTGCAGGCCTGCTGGGGGGTCCTCCAGCATTCACAGCTCCTCCGGAGGCAGTGAGGAGGCCCCTGGGACAGGGCTGGGGTGTGGGGACCAGGAGCCTTTGTGTTCTTCAGCTTCCTTCTGGGAGAGAAGCAGAGATCAGTCCAACAGTGACCAGGTTGGGACCCCCCGTTTCTTTCTGTCTTTATGCTTTCCCAGGCCATGTTGCTGCTGTAGATTCCCTGGGGCTAGGACTTCAGAGACATTGCTCTTGGGTGAGCAGATGAGACAGCCATAGAGAGATGGCCTGGAAACAAGAATATTTGAAGAAAGGAATAAAGAGAGCTTGGCGAAGCAGTGCATGTCTGCAGTCCTAGCGCTTTAAGAGGCCGAGGCAGGAGGGTCCTAAGCTGGGGCCTCGCCTGGGAAATGAAGTGACTTAATGAGACGGATCTGAAAGTAAAAAATGAAAGAGCTGGGGCTGGGGCTCAGGGCAAATGTGCTGGGTTCCATCCCCAGTACTGCTAACTAAATAAAAAATAAATAAATAAGAGGCCATTAGCCATGTATTAGCTAGGGATTTTAGTTTGGTTGGAGGCTGAAAATTATCTGTATCTGGGAAAGAAAGGAAGGATGACTGTCCTGTATGCTGCTCAGAGCAGCGTATGGGACACCCAGAGAGGGGGAAGGCTGTCACCTGCCTGGTGGTTGGTGGCTGTGTGATGATAATGGCGCGGGGACCTGGTGTGCCATAGGAAGGTGCTTGTCAGCCTCGGCATGAGGCCCTCGGCCCCAGTGGCCAGCCCGTCCTCGTGGGTGCCAGGCCCATAAACCCTCATGGCTCCCACTCCCGCATCTACAGGCAGCCTGTGTCCTGCTGGTCTCCCGTGAGGGTCTTTGCTTTCAGCAGCAAGGATGGCCACGTTCACCTGTGGTTCTGATCCCCTGGGCAGGGCTGGCCTGTGCTGGACTCCAACCCCTGGGTTTAGGAGAGCCTGCCCCTCAGGGCCTCAATTCTTTGTACCTTGAGAGTCAGTTTTCTAAGCCTGCTATCTCAGGTGGGTGAGGCCGTCACCAGAACAGTAGATATCCCTGGTGGCGGCCCATCTCTCAGAAAGCTTCCTGCCCACCCTTCCCAGGGGCAGCTCTGGGGTTGAGTTGGTGAGCACAGGGGTGTCCCAAGACACTGGGAGGACGGCCCTGAGGCCATAGTGCAGTGCGGTGGCCCAAGAGCCTGGTGTCTTGTACTGGCTGAGCGCAGGGCTTTGCTCCAGGCAGAGTGCTGAGCTCAACTTGCATGGGGTCAGGACTGGGAGCCCCCCTCCACCTCCCCTTTTCCTGGGCTGTTTCCTCTGCTTTCCTCTTCCTCTGTGCAGCCTGAGAATCTGGCTTCGTGTGTGGATCTGCCAAAAATAGATTTGTTTTTCTAGGGATGAAGGAAGAGGGTGGAAGTTCCAGAAAGAGGCAGTTTCTTTTAAGAGGGAAAGAAAAATAAATCATGTTAGCTGTCCATTGAAGCTCAGGGCATCACTGTGCTTTTTCTGAACTGTGGATCTTCCTCCGGCAGTGTCCAGAGATGGGACGCAGGCATGTGACGGTCTGCAGGGACAGCCCCCACTGCTCTGAGCTCTTCCTGGGAAGGACATTCAAGATTTGTGGCATTGATTTGCCTTTCCCAGCCTACAGGAAGACCGCAGTAACAAATGTGTGACCTGTGAAAGGGTCAAACCTTATTTTTAGCCTGGAAAAGAAAGGAGCAATGTCTCTCGGAAGGGACCACACTGGATGGCCTGAGAAGGAAGTCAGTTGGGCAGAGCGCAGCAGCCTTAGCTTTAGTCCAATAGAAAATGGCCCCTCAGACAGGAAAGGGCCGCAGCTCATGGCAAGGCCTGGGGTGGCCCGAGTTTGTGGAGGTGGGGAATTTGCTTTCTGAAGCCCAGGGATGTGCTGTAGATAGGTACTGTGTTCTTGATGCTAGGTAGTTTTGTCTGCTGTGGTGTTTTTGCAGTGTAGGTTTTGAATCTTTGTCATTCTGCTTTGATACTTGTGTTCAGTTTCCTTAAAGACTTAAAGATGGTATTAGTCATTCTTTGTTCATTTGTTAGTTCATTCATTAGATAGTGACACTAGGCCTCTCCGTGCTGGGCTCATGCAGCTGATCAAAACAGAGTCCCTGCCCTCAGGTTGCATAGGGCCGAGCGGCTCATAGTTTGGGGTTACTGGAGGGGAGTGCAGATATGATTGCGTTGTGATTTCTCTGGTCTTTTCAGCTTGTCCTATGGAAGTGTCCCAGGGCATTATGGGAGTGCCACATCTCTCTGCTCTGTGTCACTCTGCCTTCATTAGACAGAATGAGGAAGAGCTGATCTGTAGTGGTTCCTTTCAGGGGTCGGCTTGACTGAGCTAGGGAGTGCCCAGATGCTTGGGTAAATAAAGGCTCCTATGGTGGTTTTTGTGACTGTGTTACATGGACAGACCCACAAAGCAGTAGCCCTCCCACATGCGGCTGGGCCTCTGCTGATCCACAGAAGGGTTGACTATGGCAAAGGGCTGCTCCTCCCTGAGAGAGATATGGTGCTTCTTGCCTGCCTGCCTTTGAGCTGGGATCTGTTTTTGCCTTGCCTTCACTTCAGACTGAAGCATCTGCTCTTCCTGGGTCTTGACTTTCCTTGGCCTTTGGACAGGATTTACAACTTTTTCACCTTCTGAGTTTTCTGCTTGCCAACTACAGATTTGGAACTTGTCAGAATCCGTAATTGTGAGCCAAATCCTTAAACACATTCTGACTCCATCTCTGTCTCTGTCTCTGTGTCTCTCTCTGTCTCTGTCTGTCTGTCTGTCTGTCTGTCTGTCTGTCTGTCTCTCTCTCTCTCTGTCCCCTCACTACATATATTATCTCTCATGGTTCTCTCCTTGTTGGCTTTTACACATGCTCACCAGGCATTCATCTCTGTGAAAGAGAGCTAATCAGGTAGATGTTTGTTTCCTACTGCCTGGTGGCAGTTGCCTCAGGTGTCCCCACTCCCTGCAAAGTGCACCCCTTTGGCCTGGAGCAGAGAAGCTAGAGGATTGAGATAGAACTGATGTGCGGTGGAGATAGTTAGGAACCCCCAAGAGTCCAGTCCGCGTGCACAGGAAACATAGACCCCTCCTTCCAGGCTGGTGAGAGGCTTCCTGGGCGTGAGTTCAGGGCACGGACAAGTGGGCTAGGTTCATCCTCCCACCTGCCAGGTAGAGGGAGAGAGGCATGATGCAGAGATGGGACTTTGGTCCACACAGTATCTTCCAGTCTGGAGTCCTGGTCGTCAGGCTGCTTGAATCTCTACCCTTGAGGCCTAGAGAGTGTTGCGTGTAGTTACATGAGATCATGGAATTCCCCAAGCTTGCTGGTCTCAGTGTGTGGTGAAGAAATGGGTTGAGTGTCTTTTATAATTCACAGACGTAGGACACCTACAGACGCTTGAGAGCATTCAGTGCCAAGATGGTAACAGAAAGAACGACTGATCCCTCTTTTGAGACCTTCAGGAAAGACCTGGAACTGGGAGAGAGATCCACTGAATCTGGGAGAGTGGATAGGAAACAGGCCAGCTTTTCCTAAAGGCTTTTTGCCTAAAATATGTAACACTAGTAGGTTCCAGAAACCTGTTAAATAAATGATGCACCCATATGTACGATGATCTCATCTCGCATGGAGACGCAGCTTTCTTTTGCCTTCCAGCCCGAATAAGCTGCAGTGAAAAATAATCCAATCAGGCCAAATGAAAGTGCATCACACCCAGGACCAGTACAGCTGAGCCGTTTTTAGCCCAATGACAAGCCAGCCAGCAGAGCACTTAACTGGTCTGGCCATCTTTCTCAGCTGTGGATACAGTCGCTTGGCAGATTGAGGAGTTGAGGAGGAGGGCTGGGAGCTGGGTTGTCAAGGTAAACATTACTTTCTGCAGCTCCCTGGAGGGCACTTTTCTCGCCTGCTCCTTCTGCATGGAGCTTGTGATCACAGAGGAAGGAGTTAAAAGGCTCCTTGAGGTGGCTCCTGCTGCCCTGGACTCCCGGAGGAGTCAGACGCAATAGGAGGCTTCTTCTTTCATGCACTTTGTTTGTACAACCCCCAGGCATCTGTGGAATGCTTATGTCGCGTAGAGCAGAGCGGAGAGCTGGAGTACAGAAGGCGGGCTGGAGGGGTGGCAGGGTCCCTGGCTTAGCAGCCGCCCCCTGAGCACCTACTGTGTGCTGCAGGCCAGGACGACCTGGAAGTTGCCTTTAGAAAACGTGCAGTTTACAAGAGAAGCTAGATGTGCCTACCGCATTTATGTAGTTGGAGACAGAATGTGTGAGGTGCCTGGTGGGGGCCTCCTGGGAAGGGAGCTCACATGGGCAGAGTGACAGTGTGGCACCCGCGTCAAGGCAGATTTGGCAAAGGCAGAGAGAAGGTCCTGCTCCAGTTGACCCTGGCGTAATCTCGGGCAGGGACCCTTCGGTTTCCTGAGGCTGGAGGGCTGCCATCAAAAGTGTTTGCACGGAGACGACAGTCACGCTTCTAAGCATGGCGTCGCCTGCCGGAGGTAAGACATCTGGGATTTGGGGAGTCTGGAAGATTCTTGCACATTTTCCCTGTTCTTAGAGTCCTCAAGCAGCCTGAGACTCCTCTGGGAGAGAGCATTTGCACAGAGCCAGCTGGTCCCCAGCCCCATACCGCCACTGTGGCTCCACGGGGCGCTTCCTGATGGGGACCCAGCCCCTTGGTCTCTCCGCAGTGTGATCCAGGACAGAGGCGTGAGTGCCGGCTCGGCTCTCACAGACACTGCTCAGGCCTCTCTGATCTTGCTGCTTCCTCCCCTGTGGAGTGCACGCTCTTCGCCTCCACCCATCTGCGTGTTCTCCTGGGTGTCCCGGGGAGCCCCGTGTGGATGTGGGACAAAACTATTGCTGGGGAACCAAGGCCAGCCCAGCTGGGGCGGGGCAGGTGGAGGTTTCCCCTCGCGGTGCAGAGCCTGCGCTTCTGGGCAGACTTGGGTGTGTTTTCTCCATGTCATGATGTGAGAGCTTCCCAGTGACAAGCACTGGCCTGCAGGCTCGTCAGGCGCACGCCAGCCCACTCAGGTGGCTTCCAGTTGTGTCATTTCTCTCAAGCCATTTCATATTCTGGACTTGATTTGATTTTTCCATGTACATATTTCTCACCCAAGTCAGGGTTCTTGAACAGAATCTCAGGAATGGGATGGGTACAGAACGAGGCACGTGTGTCCAGTCCCTTCTCTCCCTCTCCCCCTGCCATGACCCAGCTCGGGTGGCTCTTGTTGGTGTGGAGGGGCCTTTGCATCAGTTGATACCCTAGTGGGATGAGCTAAGAGGAGGAGGGCTTTTGAGGTGTCAGGGTCTTTGCCTGTCTTCCTTCACTCTGAGTCCTTGGGCTCTGCCCTGGGGCTGCGCTTGCCCTCTCCCTGTACACTTCCTAGTCTGAACTTTGAAGGTGACTCATGTACTTGTTGTCTGAAGTATAATCTTTCCTCCTCCCTCACCCAGTGGGGTCCTTGATGCTCCAAACCTAGGAGGGTCCTCACAGTCTGTGTTCCAAACCCCAGTCTGTTTCTTCTGCTGGGGTTCTCATTCAGAGGTCTCTCCATTCCTGGTGGCATGTTACATGTCCCCTTTTGCTGGGCACCTCAGCTTTCAGCTGTCTTTGTGCTAGGGATGTCTGGCATGATCTGGCAAAGCAAAGCTCAGGGAGGGGAGCTTTTCACTGCTTGAACGGGGAGCAGTGGAAAATCTTTCTATTCCTGGGTCAGTGGCCTGTTGACTAATGTCAGTTAGGGAAGCCCTAATCTCTGATCCATGGACCAGGCCAATGGATGTTGACACTGCCCTTCTGGTGGCTGGAGCCAGGAGTGCTGTGCAGCGAGCAAAGGGCTCCTTGTGGATCACGCAGGATGGACTTGTGGTTTCATGTGGTTTTGTAAACTCCACCTTTCAGAAACTTCTGTCTTGTAAGGCAAAGATTTTCAGTCACTTGGCGATGTCTCATTAAGACATACGTAATGGTGGTTATTTTGAGTGTGGTTGTGGTGGAGAACTTCTGACTGCCTGTTCAGGTAGGAGAACATCTGATACTCTCTTGGAGCCAATGGGTGAAGGGATGGTACATCTAAGCCATCGAGGAGGGAGTGTTTGGACACTGAAAGTTTTCTCAAAGTACTAGTTTTAGGCTCTTCCTTGGTAACTGGACTCATCCAGAACAGGGGAGCTAGGAGTGACTTAAAGAGCTTGGACTGCAGGGCTCAGGACCCCAACCTGGACTTGCTCAGCCACTTATGTGCTGGACACTCTGAGCAGGACTGTGTTGCACTGAGCGCTGAAGGCCTTGCATCCTAGGAAGTCCTTTGGTCCTTAGCAAAGCAGGACAGTTGGTCATGTCCCTCTTGGGTCTTAGCATCTTTCTACACTAAGAGAAGGAATTGAATGAAAGGCCCAGAAGGTCTACCACATTTCTGGTATTCCAACTTGACTCCCACCTCATATCCCTGCCCACAATAGACCTTCTTAGGGCACTCTATGTCTCAAGGCCAGCTACTGCTCCTGGGAAGGTTATTTGCACATGTGTCATGTTAGGAGTCTTTCTGTCCTGGTCTATGAGAAAAGTCCACCCACCCTCAGGTCTGGTGTCCTCCGAAGTGGGTGTGGCACCAGGGCAGTATCTCCAGGTTTTCTAGGAATCCAGGCACAGCATAGTGCAGCAGTAACGAGAACCAGTGTAGAGTTCATCATGATGGCGGCAAGGAACGCCCCTGCGCCTGAGTACCATGCACAGTAAGACCTGCTCCAGCCCAGGGCTGAGGGAGGTGGAAGGGACCCAGTTACAGGCCCAGGCCATTGCTCTAAGCACCTCAAAAGGGAGGTCCTGGGGCCTCATGGCTGGCCCTGTTTAGGGCCTGGGGAGGCTGTGACCAGGATGGAGTGTGTCACAGAGCAGAAGCATCTGTACCTCCTGCATGCTGAGAACTCAGATATTTGCTTATGGGGCTGAAGATGGGAAAACAGGATATTAATAATGTAATAATATGTGATAAGTATGTATACTACAGGTTCGCTGAAGGGAGAAAGCCTTTGAATAAGATACCTTTCAACTGATTGTTTACCCCTAGTCTGGAAAATGAGGAGCTCCATGGGATTCGAGGAGGGGCTTTCTCCAGGAGCCCCGGTTCCCATGTCACCCCCAGCAGACCAATGCGGGAACCCTCCCAGGCCCCCTTACCACAAAATTAGATGCCTCCCTTGCTAAAGTTGTTGGGTCACATGACTCACTGACACTGGGGACAGATAGTTTGTTTTCTGTCTTGTGTTGATTTTCAGAGCTTTCGGGTAGTTGCGACTCTATCCCTCCACCACCTTAACACTGAGCCCGCACCCCCGAGCACCTAATCTCCCTGCCTCCACCCTGCAAATGCCTAAGTGCAAAAGGCCCACGGCCAGAGAGACTTGTATTTCTGGAGGATGCCTATGCATTTAAGGAGCCTCTCTGAGGAGTTTGCAGCCTATACCTTATCACCCCTGATGTTAAGCTCTGCAGAGGGCCGTGGACAGAATGTCCCCCAAAAGCTCCTTCCTGGGGAGTGGTCAGCCTGCAGTGTGGTGTCTCTGAGGGCACTTGCCCAGGGAGCAGCGGGTCCCAGTCTGTGCTCTTTTCTTCCAGGCGGGCCTGGCCTCCCCGGAGAACTCGGAGCAGCTCATCATTGCCCTGGAGCCCGAGGCAGCCTCCATCTACTGCCGAAAGCTGAGGCTGCACCAGATGGTCGAGCTGAGCAGCAAGGCGGTGTTCAATGGGTACAGCGCCAGTGACACAGTAGGAGCGGGGTTTGCACAGGGTACCTCTGCTCTCTCTCTCCCTCCCTCTCTCTTCCCTTCCCAAGCCCTGGATGTTTCTACTTCCGGCCATGTGATAAGGATTAGTGCTGTAAGGAAGCCTCAAGATACCCCAGGAAGAGGTTGGCTTGAAGCCCCTCTGTGCTCAGCCCCTACCCACATCCTTTGAGGACCCCAAGAACTAAACAGTGGTTCCTCTGGCTTCAGCCATCACCAATTGAGGGTGGCCCGAGCAGCTCCTGGTCTTTGCCTTGCTAGGCTCTTAATCTTTCTTGCTTATTAACTGATTCTTAATCTCATCCCATTTGTTTGTTATTAATTCCTCCATTAAGACTGTTGATTTATTGCTGACTCACTCATGGGGACTGCTGCTGCTCTGTGTGTGTGTGTGTGTGTGTGTGTGTGTGTGTGTGTGTAATGAGCTCATTATGTATCTTAGCTGAGAATTTCAAATATAGATGAAATGTGCTCACTTGTCCTGACCTACGGATGTGCATTTAGCTGTGAGAAGAAAAAGAGCCTCTTCTCTCTCATAGCTACCTGCTGTGAGACAGTTGGTCACTTTCTTGGTCCCCAGAACTCTTTTCCTGGCATCCAGGGCTCCAGAGTTGTAGCCAGGCTAGCTTAGGGTCACAGCACAGCTGTGAACATGGATGTTAATGGGGAGCACTGTGTGTGTTGGGGGGCATGCACACTATTCTTCGATAAGGCTTGGTGGGTAGAGACCCTCCTGTCTCCTGGGCCCACTTGTAGGCTGCCCTGGAAGCCCCCGGGTCTGGGAGGAGCAGAGGGAAGACATCCTGGGGGATATTCTCCTTCCCCAGCCCCACCAGCTTGTCCCCACATTTCTCTGGGTCCCTACACTGGAAGCCTGAGTCTGTGTTCCTGGAAGCCCTGGGCCTGGGCTCACCCCGAGCAGATGCCCGTTGCTGCCACCACATGTGCTGGGTTCTTCTCTAGGCTGTTCATCTTCCTCACAGGGATAACTGTGCCCCGAGTGCACCTCTTTGCATTGTAACCCTTAGAATGAGGAGTCTGGAAACCTCAGCTGTGGCCTCGCCCAGCCTGCCAGGTGCTGCGCATGGTTAGTACTTCAGATCTGATTTGCCTGTGAGTGGAAGCAGGCCCCCCTCTGACGCGGCAAGTCAGAGTCCACATTTCCTAGTAGAGCTCTGCCTCCTTCAGGGGGTGGAGACTAGACTTACTCCTAACTAAATCAAACGCATTGATGCTTTCAGTCCTCAGGACAATAGATAAATTTGTATTTTCTTCTATTTGTTTTTATCAGGAAAAAAGGGGGGAAATCAGGCTTGTATCGTACGTGCTAATTTCAGTTGTTCATAAACAGAAACTCATGCCAGCACCAGCTAATTCTAGCACAGCTCTGCTGCATCCTCTGTGAGCCTAACGCTCGCATTTCAGGGCATCAGTTTTGAGGCTGGCCACCCGGGAGCTTAGCATGAGGTTTCCTCTCCTCTAACGCACCCCACCTCCCACCAACTGCTCTGTCTGTGTCCTGTGGCTTGTGGAATCTGCTGCTGCCTGCTTATTCTCAGAAGGGCTTTTGGATTTTAAATTTTTCAAATAATTCTCCACCACCCCTCCATCCAGTAGTAAGGCACGCAGTCTGTTTTCTGGTTGGAGGTGTTGACCCTGAAGGAGGGGTACTCAGAGAGACTCTCTGGACCTCTTACTGAGGACTGGGGCTGTCTGAGATGCGTGTAGCCTCCTTCGTGCTCAGAGCCCAGAGGATGCCACGGGGTGGTGGTGGTGGAGTGACAATCTATAGTCTGCAGCTTCACTTCTGGTCCGCAAAACGAGTTGTGGGAACCACAGGCCACTTCATCTTTCCTGACCTGCAGATAAGGATGGTGGTTTATATCCTGTCCTCCTTGCAAGCATCTGCACCCCAAACCACAGCAGGGGTGTGGACTCGAGCAGAGAGGCTGGCTCCGAGATTTATCAGCAAGGCAGTGCTGGCCTTTGTTAGTTTCAGATGCCACCTTGTGGCTGAAGTGCCACCTTGTGGCTGAAGCGCCACCTTGTGACTAAAGAGAGCATCGACTTCAGCAGAGTCAGGAAATGACTCCTAATCCAGGGAACCAGGATCCAGATTAGAAAAACATACTCCACATTCCTTGCACCAAAGTTTCTTGATGTGAAATTGTTTAGTTGAGTGCACCGTGGGCATCTTGGTACACGGCTTCCTCCTCGGGGCAGGCAAACTAGGAGATTGGCTAATTTTATTAACCCATTCCTCAAATAATGTCACCAGAGAGAAGGAATCTCATCAGAGCTGGCTTTTTAGCTGGGCATGGGCCAGGCAACCAGGCAGATAGCAGATGAGGGGTGGTAGAACGAGCTCCTTTCTCCTGGAAGAGCTGGCTTTGTGATTGCTACTGCTGTGTGTGTCAATCGTGAGGCTGCAGCAGCAGTAGATGTTCCATCCTTAAGCCTCCTCATGCTGTTGCCTCCACGGACTGCAGGTTACTGTCCGCTTTTCCATGCTTTCTTACCTGTCATCGTTTTCTTCCTGTCGGCCACTAGCTAAGGAACACATCCGGCGTAATCGACAGAGTCGGACCTTTTTGGTGGAGAATGTCATAGGAGAAATCTGGTCCGAGCTGGAGGAAGGTAGCGTCCTTGAATGTCCTTTGCCCGTGCAGAATTTTTTTTTTTTTTTTTAAATCCTACTGGCAGAAATGCACACCAGTTTGTCCCATTTGTAATTCTGGAAGATGTTCAGATCCGTGGGATTTCAGAGGTCCTTTGTCCAAGAAGAGTCCTTTTGGGAGCTGCAGTTTTGCATGTTGCAAAATCATGTAGACTCTTCCCAAGAAAGACAGAATTTGGAATCCCCCCAGCCCTGGAGTAAATCTTATCTGTGCTAACAGCAGGTCATGGGCTGTACCAGGCCCATAGCACTGTGTGACATGAAGGAGCAGACATGGTGGCATCCTCTTGAGTTGTAAATGTCCCACTATGCTGCTAACTAGAAAACCATTGTGCTAATGGGTAGTGGTGACCATACTGAGCTAAGTATACCAAATTATCACCCACAAGCTTGTTTTAGATGGGGTGACAAGGGGCCCTTGCAAAGGACGACTGTTTTTGTATCAGGTGACAAGTATGTGGTCGTGGACAGTGGTGGAGGCACCGTGGACCTGACAGTCCATCAGATACGGTTACCAGAAGGACACCTGAAGGAACTGTACAAAGCGACAGGTGAGCCCTGCCCAGCTAGCTGTCTCCTGCCCTGCCCTTTCCAGATGCTTCCATGTCACTCCCTTCAGATTCCTTCTTTCACCTGCTGTAACCAGCAAGTGGGGTTGTAGGTGGTGGAGGATGCTAGCGCCTGTTTGAAATTGGAAAGTAAAATGCAGTTAAATGTTCTTTCCAATACAAGTTACGTGGGCCTGGACAAGGAAGTTTGTTTTTGAAAATTCTACAAGGATGAGGTAGTAACCTGCTGTAGTCATGATTCAGAGCTAAGACCAGCTTCCTAGGAGGTCTCAGAATACCTAGTCTTGGATCAAAGTTGCTAAGCCAGTGATGCTGTTCCCCTTCAGCGAAGGATCAGGAAAAGGACAATGAGTAGCTAATAGGAGCACAGGGACTAGACAGGTCTGTGGGTGGCCCAGACTCTGCCCTTGGCTTTCCTAGATGGCAATTCCATGATTCCCCTCACTAGCTGAATGCATTAATCTTATTTGAAATTAATTGATTTTAAACAGGCTGCTGTTGAGAGATCCCTGTAGGAAAAGTTTCTCTATGTGGAAAGAGAAGAAGCGAGGGGGGCTGAAGGAACAGTGGGAACCTTTCCCTGCACCTGCTCGCTGATTAGGGCCTGGGTGTGCCCTTCCGTGTGCCTTGGAGAACAACGCAGGGCAGGCCTGTGCCTCAGACTTGGGGTTCAGCTTTGGATGCATGTAACTTCTGGGGCTCCCGTCTCATTCTCCATTCAGGTGGCCCCTACGGCTCCTTGGGAGTAGACTACGAATTTGAAAAGCTTCTGTGTAAAATCTTTGGAGAGGATTTTATCGAGCAATTCAAAATCAAGCGCCCAGCAGCCTGGGTTGACTTAATGATCGCGTTTGAGTCTCGCAAAAGAGCGGCAGCCCCTGACAGGAGCAACCCACTGAACATCACCCTGCCGTTCTCCTTCATCGATTACTACAAGAAGTTCCGTGGGCACAGTGTGGAGCATGCCTTGAGGAAGAGCAAGTGAGTGGGGCTCCCTGAGAGGCAGGACAGCCCGGGGTCAGTTCTGTTGATGGAAGGGAGGAACGGGGCACAGACCCTGAGTTCCAGTCTCACGCGTTTGCTGTGTGATGTTGAACAAGGGACTCAGTTTCTCTGTTGCTTGTTTTTTTTAGTCTGGAAAGTGAGATAATAATTCCATTTTACCTCCAAGAGTTCTTGGGAGGGTGAAATGAATTCATGCACATTAGGTGCTTAAGATAGTATCTGACTCAGGACAAATCCTGAGGGCATTTCACTGACCTTCTAAGACCAAAAAGCAACAACTCTTCTTGCATAGGTCCTGCTTTACCTTGGTCTTAACCATCCAGTAGA